TCAATATTCAGTCAGTACAAAATATTGACATTTCAGCATCTCTACGTGCATTTCGTAGTCGTACGTATTAGATCTATGCCGACAATATGACTCTGACATCGTTTACATATACTTTGTAAAGCTAAAGGTGTTGGGAGCAAGACATAACAGAAATACAAACCTGGTGATGATAGCAAGAAAATGTGCAAAAACGAATTAAGAGAAAATATTGCGAGAATAACAACTACCTGCATATATCAAAATATGGAATTTAACTCGACGCTACCTTAATTATGTAATGCACTTAGTAAATCTAAGACATTTCAAGTCATAAAGTCACCATAAAAAAGAATATTCTCTTTAAGGATTGTTTATTTGCTTTTGGAAATTAGTTCCTATATTAAAAATTTAATCAGGATGAGTTGTAGGAAAGACTGAAAGGTAGGAGGGTTTTCTTTTATCTTATATTTATCGGAATCAAGTAAATGCGAATGATTAGTTTAAACAAAACTCTCTTTGATTGCCTTACAATCAAAAAGAGTTTTCAGACTTTTCCTTATTCCTACGGCGCTAACAAGCAATTCTTTTCCATATGATGTGTTTATCTCTGTGAGGGGCACTTGTTCATCAGATCCCACAAAGGTCCAGTGGTTAAAACGGTGGCATGGCAAATGCGGTCAAGAGCAGGAGACTGACGTTAATTACGGAAGGGGAAAGTAAACGGCTGTGTCAGGGATCATAAGGGGAGATATATTTTTTTTTAAAAAGTGTTTTTTGGCTAGTTTTTTTGGCTAATTTATTCATTCAAAGGAAAATACAAGTTAACTCACTGAACTTCGCACGTTAGTCTTAATAACCTTTTAAACCCGATGAACAGTACATTTGTGTGACAAGGCGAGCTTTTTGGACTGGTACAATCTATTTTACATTTAGCGAGCTTGTGACCGAATAAGTTTATTCGCTATTTTATGTAATTTCTGCAATATTTTGTAATTCTTATATTTTTGTAAATTTCAAATTTAAATTTTAATTTTTTTAAAGATGAATTTTCTTTTTATTCACAAATATTTATATTTTCTATTTTTCTAATAAGTGAAACATTTAATTAAATTCTGATACCTTTGTTTTCATAAGATAAAGTACGAAACCTTTGTTAAAATTTTCATAGCTCACTGTAGTTCAGTGACCGTATTTTAATGTGCCATTTTATTCGCGAGTCCATTCATCCGATTTGAAACTTGGGAATGAATTAAAAAATCGATCTTTCCATTCAATTGGTCCTATCGACTTGAATACAGTGAGCCTGAGTAAACGGGAAGTATCTTTCGTAAATATAAAAACCATTATAAGCGCATTTCTAAATAATAATTTTAAAATATAATTTTCACAGCTTTTTGACGCTGCTTTCATTTCTTGATTATAAATATAAATATATGTACTGAAAATTACGAAGAGAATAACACATACGTATCTGTTATTACGAGAATAAGTATTGCTAATGTATGCGATAGGGCTTGAAAACTAATTTTGATTCACCTTTCTTTTCTTTATGAATGACGAATATCTGTTTGCCATACACGTGATCAAATAGGGAATAAGTGTTTAATCCGTAAGATTATAAGTATTGATTAACATTTCATATAACTGCTTTTAATTGAGGCTTTCTAAGAGCAACCCCCTTAATTTTGACTCGACGCTTTTAATTTTAGACTAGGATATGAGCATAGAATCTACCTTTAAACAATGGGATTTTTTTTTAAACACTGTGGCATGACAGTGCCTAGTAATTTTAGCGTCACTAAGAATCATTTTCTGGATTCTCATATTGATTTTTTTCCAAAAGATATTAAAAGCTGCAAATTGGTATACAGTTACATATATAACGTAAGCATACCATAAAGAAAATGAACCCCAACAAAAGCTGATCGACTGCTATTAAACTCTAAAGAGGGGTTTATCAGAGGGCAAATTATTTATTTACTGTATCGATTTATTATTAATTCTAATGGATTGGAATATTTGAATATGAATTAGCTGAATATTTAAGAAAAATATTATGACTGCGAGAATAGGGAAAAAAACAGTTTTTGAATATTTACTTTCTTATAGAATGCAGATAAATTCATTTTTACTCAATGAAAATCAAAATTTAGTAGCTAATTAATCTGTTCTGTATCGAGCACTTTAGTTCAGTGATCCGTATTAATGTGCGCTTTTTTTTTTTTAATTTAAATGTTTCAAGAATAATTAGAAAAGGGCATAACTCTCTTCTTACCCTTAAATTCTTCAATAAAAAAACTGCATTTTCAGCTATAACCAAGTGAAATAATTTTCTAAAAGATAATTCAAAGCATGAAAAATAAGGTACATAACAGCTTGGAAATGGAACTAGCATTGAGATTCTTTAAGAAATATGGTGAAGCTTAGCAGAAAGTCTACGAAGTGAAGTAATTCCGTAGAATATTTTCTCTTTATGATTAAAATTGCTCTCAATTATACTTTATAAACGACATATAAAAATACTATTTAATGTATATGTGTGGATGTGTGTGTGTGTGTAGCTCACTAGCGGCTGAGCTGTAAAGTCGTTGAACTCTGGCAGGTCGATCCGGGGTTCGAATCCGGATCGACGGGGATGGCTGTATTGGCGTTTTCGAGGTTTTCCCCACGTGTAACGTGCATAAGAGTCAGTTTTTCTTAGAAAGTTTCTCCACGAGGCACCCTTACCCTTAGGCAAATAACAGTCGAATGCTTTGCTATAATCAAAGAAACCAGACCAAAATAGATATAAAGTAGCTTAAAAAACTGCTTTTATTTTACGTATATACTTATCAAGTAATATTTCAATATATATAATGATTAAAAGAAAGGAAAAGTAGGATCCTAACTGATTGTATAATAATGTAATCCCTATGAAGGCCCTAAAATTCTTTCTCACTTAAAGTCGTAACCCAAAAAGAGAACAAATTAAACTTCAGATACGTATACAATACTGAATCTAATACAAAAAAATACAAAATATAAAAAAAATTATATATGTACGAAACCTAACTAACCATTTATATTGATATTACGTAAATATACGTATGGTAATGAACATTGTATAATAAAGATATTTTATACCTTGTTCTATATTTGGTTCCATTTATATATACCTATACATAGATATATATAATTTAAGGATTCCATTTAAGGATTATAGTAGTAGTTAATACTACTACATATAAAAACACAAAAGTGCATCAATAATGTATCTTTCATTATTATTTAACTTCCTTTTTAAGAATTTTCTGCAGTCTAGTTTGCGTTATTTTATTCATAAGTCTCAAATTAAAAACAATTTATTGTTTATATGTCATTAGAAAATTAACCAAAAAGCAGCGAACCACAATGTAATTTGAGAAAAAACAGTCCTTTAGACCGTGAAAAGGTTGAAAGGCCATTCGGTTTGACTATTATCTCACATACTCAGCTACTTCGCATACATGGAACATAGCATTCGAAAATGAAAAACTCAATATTTACTACAAATTCATTCTGTAGTAACAAATATCTGTCTTTCTACACCTATGGCTTTAAAAAAAGATGTTATTTATCTTACAGTTTATCATTAAGTAATACATTTTCATTGTACAAAATTGCATTCATTCGAAGAATTCAATTTGTATTTTCCTCTGTATAAAACTGAATGTAGAGAAGTTAGATGTTTAAACGACCCCCAAGACCCCGAGCAAGATTACTACCTACTTTTCAGCCCCCATGTGAAAAAAGGGGTTCTAAATTTACGACCTGACCGCATATAAGGGTATTTCGTTAAAACAAGCAAACACTAGTAGTATATGCTTCAGGTTTGTTTTTTCTTCATAGTTGAATGGGCTAACTGGTTAGGTATTTCATGTTTTTTCCCAGATGTAATGCAAGTAGAAGTTCGGTTTTCTCAGAATGGGCTTTATAAACATGTAAAATGTAAACGTGGTTCAATTTATCTTAGCTATTGCCCCTCTTAAGCAGCTCCCACTAGCTTTCTGTAATTAAAAAATCCAGTCCAATATACCAATCTTCTTCAAAACTACAATTCCTTAAGAACCCTTTGAATATTGAAAGGAAAAGGATTGCAAAGGATAAGTTTGTTGAAAAAAACCGTAAAGTCAAACGTAAATAAAAAGTATATGCACGCACACATTGAAAAAAATAAATGCATTCATTGAAAAAAAATATTAACATATGGTTTTAAGTAGGTAACTCTTCATCTAAAAATTTCCATGCCTGACATTTGTTTAACTGATAGGCTTCGAATGAGAACAATATACGTTTAAGAAGCAAAAATATTCCGGCCTTCTTATTTGAAAAACGTCATATAAATATACACAATTAAAAATGCCGCATTTACTTGCGTATTTTGTCCTTCGCGTAATCTTCCCCGTAGCATTTTTATGCATGGGAATTTTTTTTAAATATTTACATTATTTTCAATATTTTGAAGGCTTTCAGAAAAAGAGCTTCCGCACATTTTAAAATGAATTCGTTCATATAGTAGTTGTTTTAATAGTACTGAGTTTAGGGTGCACGAGCTTTGATTGATTAAACAATAATAGGGAAGAACTTAAAGAAAACGAAGATATTTAGCGCTCTTAATGGTTCTGAAGATCACTGCACGAGTGCAGACAGACAAAACGGTGTCGAAGACAGGGAACAAGTGAGAATTGCAACGGGTTGACGAACTGAAAGCTGTGCTTATGGCACAGACAGCACGTCCAGCACTATTAATTGCTTTGAGGCTTAGGGATTAACAATTGACAAAAATAAAAGGGGGCAAAAAATGGAGAGAAACAGAAATGAAGATATCTTATTATGTAGTATAATGCTAACATTACTATGTATTCTCATTGGAACGTTGGTTTCTTTTAACTAAATAATACTGTGATAATTATCGGTAATTTATGCATGACTATTTTTCATTTGTTATGTTCTAACTATAACAACGTCCTTCGGAAATTAAATTATTCGCTTTGCCCTTCTAGATTTTCCAGAAATAAAATAAGCGAAAACAAGAGGGAAAATACGACAGCAAAATAAGGTAAGTAAAAAATATTTAGTGGCTTTTGCGATATTTAGTGAACGAATCAAAGATCAAAGAATTAAAAAACTACTAGGTAAGACTTTTAAACGTTAAGAGGATACAAAAAACATAACATATGTACGAATACAACGTAAACAGGATACAAATTAAAATGCAGAACGATAGTTTTGCTCCTTGAAGAAAAGAAAATCGTTATAGTCCCCCTTTCGAATGCAAAGAGGGTGCATACAAGCATCATACATTTAAAGTCAGATTTCACAGGCCATCAATGCTAATTTTTACTTTATCATTACGCACTGCGTTTAATTACATTTCATTACATTAAAAAGGTTTGTTATATGAAAAATTATTGAAAAAAAGTTATTTATGAGGGACAAAAATATTAATTTCAATTGTGTCCTAATACGTATTTCCATTTAAAGTAGATAATAGGTATATCTCTTTTAAGAACTGTCTTATTTCCACTTAAAGGAGATATGCTACTTTTATGAATTTTTAATAAGTTCAGATTCCTTTGCTTTTAAATAAAATAAAAAGTTTTTAGTTTCATTGCTTTAAGTTAAATAACAACATAAACTCGTTAAATAAAATTAATGTATTTATTATAAGAAGGCTGACTTTGCGCATTTCGACAATAGCTTTACGGTTAAAAGATCTCAAAAATCCTGCATTTTATCAAATGCTAGTTGCCTGTTATAAAGAAATATTCTGTCTTTTATGTTTGGAGAAAAGTAAATTGGAGTACGGTTTCCATTTTCTCATTTATTCGTTTGCGAAGTAAATGAGATTTTTCATCCGAATATAATTTCTGTGCTAAACAAAATTTTATATTTTAATAAAACATAAATTTAATGGGTATATCAAAATACTTTTGACGAATGGAAGAACAGTAATAAATAATAACAAAGAAATTACAAATATTGCTGGAATTCGGAAATTGTTGCATATATTCATTGCTAAAATTAAGTGTTTTTGTAAAAATGCATAATTCTATGCTTCATTCATAATCTTCCTTAGATATATCATTTTATTATATTGATCTAATTTATAAACATCAGGATTTTTATTTAAAATTATTAACTCTACAATAACTTCAGCGTCTGTTTAATGAATGAGTCGAAATTCCCTTGCGTATTTTTTGAACTGCAAAACTATGAGTTTCTGACGAACGTGAAACTATAGTTTTGAGTCGAAATCTACGTTATCTGTTACTAAGGAAAAAAAAATTAATAATATCTTTCGATTTTGCTTCAGAAAACTTTAGCTGCTTTCTTCTTTTCGAAAAACAGTTACATTTCTGAGCGGCGGTAAAGGCTTCAAGTTTGCCTGTTCAGGATACGTGAATGAATCGTTAACATGCAACAATATGAACTTTTGCTATGCATTGTTACTTAAGTAATTAGGAAGCATCCATTCCTTATCTGGGTTGCAAAAGGTAGGTTGTAGTTTATGCACATTAAAGAGTTATTTTATTTAGTTTTTTGCTGTTGCTTTTTCAAATTATTTGGTAAGAAATGGGATAATAAAAACCTTTCCTCGGTCTAAGCATTTTTTATAATGTGATTGGAAATAAACTATTTAATTCTGAAACAAGAAATATAAAAATGTAGTCTAGGTATATACTAATTAATCCTGTTGTTGTGGTTGTTGTGACTAACTCACTTGTCTGAAAGTAACGTCACAACAAGCTCACGGATTTTATCGTGGCAAGGAGAGCAAGTTTGCGCCTATCGTTGGCAAGAGCCTTGAGCACCATACAGGTGATAACACTACTTCGCTCTTTCCGCTCCAGTTTTGATGGAGAGCATCTTGGAGGGACGGGTCTGAGTGTCTCCCACCCCTGTTCCCCTACGACCAACCACTCGAGAGGACTTTCGGCTCGCATATATTTAGAGTGACATCATGCCGCAAATACACTATACATTTGCAAATATCTATGCAGTAGGCTTCCCTAACCATTGTACCGTCTGAGCGGCGCTAATTTATCCTTTAGGCAAGAAATCTATGTATCCCATAGCTCAAGTAATCGAGTCATTTTTAATGTAAATATAAGAGACCTTTCAGTCTGTTATTAATTTTCTGGGAAGAGTTTACGTTTCAACTTTAATTGTAATACGAGTTGTTGGTTAATGAAATAATACTCGACTTGATTTATATTTAACATTGCCTTATTCTAAAATTTAGTTAATAATTAAGTAAATAGTTATAACTTTCCCACAATCATACATTTGATAGTTAATATCAGGCTGTTACGTAAATTGTCAGTTTCAGTTGTGTGCCTTAATCTAATATTGCATAAGCTTTTATTAACTTAAAAATCTTCTCTGGGACGAAAGCATAATTTTCTATTGCCTGCAGCGTATTGCCACATAAATTAAAAAAATAGATTTACCCTTTCAGTTAATAATATATTCGATCGATATGACAAGTACTCTTTATGTTCCTAAACGACAGAGATTTTTTAAAAGCCAGAGAAGGAAAGCTGGTATTGGGTAATATATCGTAATGGATATTCTCCTGAAAATTGATTTTTGTACTTGTCGATGTAGGTCGTGAAGTTAGAAGCACTCATATATTTTCCTATGTGATCACATCTCGACGGAATGTTTATAAGTACCTTCCGTGCCTCAAGTTTTAAGTTGAAAGCAAAGAGGCTAGTAAAGACCTTTAAGGCGAGTACAATACTCTTTTCTCCTTCCGTTTATAAAAATAGCATTACGTTTCCTGTAAACTTTTACATTCTCGGTGCCTCACCACTAGGCCTAACTAAAACGCACTTCATCTGCACGAAAGCTCTTTTTATTCCTTTGGTTTACTTCCTTTTTTTTGTTTGTTTGTTTCTCCAATAAATCGATTGACAGGACTGGGGCATCCCGTGTAACCTGCCCCTAACATAACAGACCCAGACGAAATCGCCATCTTCTTTTCTACTCTTATACTCTTTTTTTTTTTTTCATCCTTCCTCCATCCCTTATTTTTTCTCCTATTTTTTCTTCTTTTTCCATCGTTCGTAAATGGAAACTACTTCTACTTCTATCTTTTGAATTTTCCGTCCGCACTTTATCCCTTTAAATAAGGCTCTCTCTCTTTCTTTTTCGATACGGAGAAAAATGTACGTGTACAAAGGAATATCTCTTCGGCGCGCTGCTGTGAATTTCTTCCTCAACTTTTGGTATTTTTTTCCCCTACAGAGAGGGCAATGGAAGTTTTTGCATAGGATGAGCAAGGAGCCAACTTCAGCCGTCTGGTCAAACATTCCCCAGTTGATGGATATTGGATTTTATTTTCTGGTAAAAGATGGAGAATTCTTACATTTAATCTGTTCTTCTTATGGCATTAATCTGTTATGATTCTGAAGCATAATCCTTTATAATGATGAATCGTCTTCTATGACTATAATATTTATTCTTTTCTGAAGTATGTTATTCTCTGACAAAGAAATTTCTTTTGATGGTGCAATTCAATCTATTATGTGAATCTGGTACAAAATTTATTCTTTTTACTTAGTGAATTTTGGACTTTTTTACGTTAAATAACTCTTTGAAAAAAGTAATTCATAACAGAGCCTCTTTTTCTTTGGCTGTTTTGTTACTCCTTTATTATAGCACTGCCCTTTCGCCATATATGTTTTATGTAAGGATTGCATATTATGTCTAATAATCTAGAAATCTAATTTTTCTATATACTTTCTATTATTTCTGTCTAAAAGCCTAGAAATCCTATCTATATTTTGAACTCCAGCTTTGTATCTAATATGCAGTATGTTCTTTAATGATTTTCCAATGAATTTATCTCCAAAATGTACCATTTTATTTCCTTGCCCGAAATAAAGGAAGTATTATTGTAATCACGAAAGATTTTGGGTATCGTATGTTAATGGAAATATCCATTTTGACCGTTTCCCGAATCCATTTGGACGACTTTTTGTGTTGTACATACGGACAGAATACGGGACACTTATTTTTCAAAACGGATTGTAAAATGGATTTAAAACAGATTCGAAAGGTTTCTTTTTTGTGAAGTCTGTACGTGGGTAAGTACGTATGCACATCGCATAACTCAAAGACGGTTAGGAACTGTTATGACATATAGTTCTGCATCTCCAATTTTTTTTTTGAAATCGGCAGCACCAATATATATATATATATATTTATGTAAGAAACATAAAGACTATAAAAGATTAAATTAATTTCTCTTCTCTATTCTAAAAACGCTACATCTATTTGAACTGCATTCTTTCGAGAAAAATCTATGTCATATGACTCTTACGCAATTCTGGTGATGTAAATTGAACTAAAATTCAAGCAGCCAATAATAATTTTACAGCAATATTAACTACCCAATCAAAATGCTTTGAGAACAAAAACTAACTCAGTTTGACTTAAGATTTCATTCTGAACATTATGCACTTGCTTTCCACGCTTTGGCAAGCGTGGAATTGTCTCTCACCCACTGTCTTATTTTTACCTTGTGGACTTATTGTCATCAAGAGACTTCAACCAGTCTTTTCCTTCAATTTCAATTATTTTTATGAAAAGGGACTTTACAACAAAACGTTTACTTTTCAATGACATTTTGAGGAAAATTGAGGACTTTTATGATTGTAATTTATTATTTAGTTTTATTCTTCCATATACTATTGTCTGATAATTCTAAATTTAGTTATATGTTTATTTATAAATCATAGGTTCCATTGTAAAATTATATGCTTGAAAAATTATCTAATTATATGAGAAAGATCAGGAGTTATGATAGGGCATAGTTAAAGCTTGTAAGCTATGTCCTGGATGTTTTTCTTCATGTCTTTCCTCATACTTCTTGCTTCACTAATGTACTAATGCTTTGCTCGCCCGGCCTCTCGTTTTAAGAGGGAGGAGATGTAAAATATAAAAAACATGATGACTTTACAACAAAACTTTTACTTTTCAATGGACATTTTGAGGAAAATTGAGGACTTTTATCATTTTAATTTATTATTTAGTAGCATATTACTTAAC